ACTTGTTTAAATTTCTAAAATATACTAGTTGCGTAAATGGCAATAACTTTTTTCGTAGTAAACTAATGGGCATGTGCCTTGGACAACAGTTGTACGAAAGATTAAGCTTTCAAGCTATTGTAGTTTTGTCATTTAAAATTCGAATATTGTCACAAACGAGGACTTTAAACACGGCCTCATCGTTTTGAGAAACATTTTGAAATGCTCAAATATCTCGAAAATTTAGGTTAAGATTTCATTCAAACTTCGTCAGTATGTCAATTATGTTATTAAGAAATGACTCTGAAAATTTTATTAAAATCTCTGCGATCAGTTTTGAGAAAATTGACTTTGAAGAAAAATGAAGGTGTTTTTGTTTTACATTGATTATCCAAATAGCTTCGATTTTTTTGGCAAATTTATCTATAAATAAGAATCATCGACAATCACTTATACTTCTGTGAAAATTTGAGTACAATCGAATCGAAATTTGCGACGTAGTTGGAGTTTAAAAATACGCGCGAAACGCTATTTATTACGATCGAAACACCTTAATTCCAAATTGTACGAGATGTTGTGCGATTTTTTGTTTACATTACATTCAGTGAAACAAAATTTTCAAAGGAGTACAATTGACGCTGTAACTTTACTCTCTCGACCAATGAAAAAGTAATATTTTGTTGATTGTATTATAAAAACTAGATAAAATATGTAGCATGAGATTAGTGTAAAATTTCCTAAAATTTTTGTGCATGTGATCCTACAAAACAAATTGTAATTTTTTAAGTAAAATATCCTGTGAAAGTCTTTGTAAGTCTAGGTTTCCATTCTTTTTTCCTGGAATCAAGGCAAAGCTATCTCAAGAAAGACTGTCAAAGAGATTTGCCAATCGTTTACACTTAGTCATTTGGTAATGCTCACGATACTCCTGGGATCGATCTCGTTATTTACTGGACTAATTGAATATGAGCAAAATATCAAGTATACTAACGTGGACATTTGCTTGGATTGCATTTCCTTGTTTCTTTGTCGTTTCCAGTGCAATCGTCACCACCATTGGCAGGCGCAGGACTTGTGCACGTTCTTGATCGTGATTGGCTGCATCCAGCATTCTTGAGTGAACAACTTTCCCATGGTTTCCAGGAAGACCAATTTCCGTGAACTAATGAAATGTTAAAAATAGCAAATTAGCTGAGACTTAAATAAATATATTATAGTAGACTATATCAGGTTTGAGACCAAAATAGATCTTAAAGGGACATGGGTCCACCAGCATCCCTTTCGAGCTTTTGTTTATGTTTGAAAATAGAAATACATCGTAATATAAGCAAAAACTTACTCTTTATTATTCCTTTATCCTATATGAATGGAGATGCTTTAAGATTCGACCGTTAAACCGATGGATGGAAACGGATTGCAAATGGATATTCGAAGTCACCTCATTTTCCATATATGAAAAATCTAAAACACGATGCTAGTGGACCATGTCCCTTTAAATATAACTTCAACTAAGCTTCAAGCATGGATTTTAATTTAGTTTTATTTAATTACGAATTTTACATTGGGAAATATTGTAATGCAGGAAAACCCGCCCGCTTAAAATTAAGAACATAGGTTTTTCCAATCAACCTGTAAGGTTATAAAATAAATCATGCTTGACTTGAACTCAGGCTGTCTAGGTTCTAAGGGCGAGGTGAATTTAAGTGAGCTTTTTGAAAAAGGCACGAAAGCAAATTTTTTTTCCAAGTTGAACGTGAAAACGTAGGATTACGTATACGAATGGTTATTGTAAGGATGTGTTTTATTTAGCTATTTGATACTTTATACTCCTTTTTTATTTATTCTTCAATTATTAACTACTTTATGCTCGTTTAGAATACTATAAATATTATCTACGATTAGCATACCTTTTTCGCAGTTCTCTCCGCCAAATCCCTTGTTGCATTCGCAGTGAGAATGCTGCCTGTTCTCCTGCAAAACGCACTTGCCGCCATTATGACAGGGTTTTTCTTGACATGGATTCTAAAGACAAATAAGGAAATCATATATTTAATTCAAAAGAGAAGCTTTATTAGACAATCACTTGTGAGCAATTTATACTGTGAAGTACATTTTTAAAAGGATGTACTAGCTCTTTGATGTGATGAGAAATGGG